GACATGGTAATTATATATATATATTATATTTATAGTATGTAGATAAATAAAAATGTCACGTAAATAAATATTTATATTTTAATTAAAAAATAAAATTACAACACTACCCTCATCTCCTAATCCCTCTTCTTCCCTTTCTTTCTTTCTCTTTTCTTCTTTCCTACCTAGATCCCTCTTCTTCTCCTTCTTTCTTTCTCTTTCTTTCTTTCTTACCCAGATCGGCTGGGTTCTGATGAGCTGGGTGGCTGGGTTCTAATGAGTTGGGTAGCTGGGTTTGACGAAACCCAGATTTGTTGGGTTCCGTCGAACCCAGCTTTGTTGGTTGCCCGAACCCAGCCTTGCTGGGTTCGTCGAAACCCAGCTACTGGGTTTCGCGTGACCAACAAGGCTGGGTTTCAACGAACCTAGCCTTGCTGGTCGTGTGAACCTAGCCTTGCTGGTTGCGCGAACCCAGCCTTGCTGGGTTCGTCGAAACCCAGCAGCTCTGGGTTTTGCGTGACCAGCAAGGCTGGGTTTCAACGAACCTAGCCTTTGCGCGAACCCAGCCTTGCTAGGTTCGTCGAAACCCAGCTGCTGGGTTCGCGCGACCAACAAGGCTGGGTTTCGACCAACCCAGCCATGCTGGTCGTGCTTGCTGGTTTCATTGAAACTCAGCCTTGCTGGGTTTCGACATTGGGTGCATGTTTTTTCATTCTTGTTTTGATTTTCATTTTCAGTTCTTGAAAAATTTGAGAGTGGATTTACAATTTGATTGCATTTTTGTTGGAATTGGATTAGAGATTGATTGCATTTGTTTATTGAAGGGTTAATTTGATTTGGTGAGATCTATTGGCTTGATGAACTCAGTGGCTTTAATGAAACTAGTAACTGGGTTCGATGATAGAGAACTCAAATTTTGCTATGGAGCATTCTAGGGTTCATTGTTTTTTTGCAGGTTTTAGTGAGTTTGATTTGTGTAGGAAAGAAAGAAAGAGAAAGAAAGAAGGGGAAGAAGAGAGAGTAAGAGGGGAGGGTAATAATGTAATTTTATTTTTTAATTAAAATATAAATATTTATTTACGTGACATTTTTATTTATTTATATACTA